CTTTCTCCATGGTCCCTTTTCTCTATAGCACTCATCATCTTCTGGCACACTCTATACCCATTTGTTATCTGTCTGCCCCATTAGGATGAAAGCTCCATGAGAGTTTGCTCCATGAGAGAAGTTTTGCACACAGCTGTATCCCCAGTGCCCAGAGCAGGGTCCGGCACACAGCAGGTGCCAACTTTTGAAAGAATGAATAATTGTAGAAAAACTCCTACTAGCAGCCCTACCATTGTGTCAGTGTGCTTGAACTATAACCAATCTTTAATTTTTTAAAGATGTGTATTTATTCTTCTGTTTTGTCAGCTGCCTTTCCTCTGTGGAACCACTTGAGAGCAATGTCTCCTGAAATTCCTTAATGATACTGCACTTGAGGTTGTGTGTTCCCCTCCATTTAACAATCTAAAATTTTTAAAATGCAAGTATTTCCTCCATTTTAAACCTTTAAAAAGTATTAAGTCAAACAAGATTGGCCCATCAACAGCATTTATTAAGCGGTTGGTCACCGTACCACAAGACTGAACTAGACTCTGTTGAGGTGACTAAAGAAGGAAATGTAATTCCTGCCCTCATGGAGCTTACAATCTCATGGATATCCAACTCCCATGTACAAAAAAAATCTCAGACAGTTATCAACAATGAGCAAAAGAAAACAAAGAAAATATATACATAAGTGCTGATTAGATGAGATGCAACGGCTGAAGGGTTGTTTGAACTAAAATAATTCCTAGAAGTTGAGTGAAAAGCTAGGATTTAAAGAGCCAATTTGTCCTTCCTTGCAAAAGGAAATGACAAATACATGAGTAAAACTTCAATAGTTACCTGGAGTCTATAAATGACAATACGAATTCAGCTGTAGTCTCACCTTTCTTAGTTATCTACTTTATTCTCTGCTTTCCCTTAAATGTATCATATTCTATTCTATATTCAAATGCTTCTATACTTTAAACGGCAGGGTGGAGTCACTTCATAAACTCCTTCTGACTCATCCTCAGATCTCAATTGAAATATCATTTTCACAGAGAGGTTTTTTCCAATCACTAAATCTGAAATAAATGTGCCTTGTTATTCTCCATCTTGGCATTTCTTTCATAGCCTTTACCACAATTTATAACCATAAGTTTATTTGTGACCTTATCATTTGTCTTCCTGACTAGATTATTAACTACCTAGAAGCAGGGTGTTTTACTATTTTTCATTACTGCCTACATATTGCTTAGCACAGTGCCTGGCAATTAATATATAGTTGTTGTAATGGAATTAAATAGAATATATTTCTGTGAAGGCCAGAAATCCACATATATAAAACTGATTCCAATACTCAAAATAGTTTTATTTTTTTATTTATTTTTTTGTGAGGAAGATCAGCCCTGAGCTAACATCCATGCTAATCCTCCCATTTTGCTAAGGAAGACTGGCTCTGAGCTAACATCTATTGCCAATCCTCCTCCTTTTTTTTCCCCAAAGCCCCAGTAGATA